CACTCCAGCCCAGGCGATAAAGTGAGACCCTGTCTCAAAAATAAAATAAAATAAAATAAAAATAATATTTACTAGTATTGAGCATTATAATAATACCAAATTTGCTAATTAAATTTTAATTAACATTTCATTAATTATTAATGAGTTTAAAGATCTATTTAATTGTTAGTTATTTTTCTTTTGTTTTCATTGAATTGTGTATTCTTGACATTTTTCTACTGAAATCTTTGTATATTATTGTGAAAAGGTCTATATTAAATAGTACAGATATATTTTTTGTAGATGACATACATAAGTAATATGGTTAATTTGCTGTTGGGGATGTTCTGCTAAAGGGTGCCTATGTAAACATGTTTTGTAGTGTTTTACTCTTCTATATGTTGAAAAAGCATATCTTTGTGTCTTAATGTAAGACATTAAAATCTTATTATTTTTTGAGAGTTAACTTTTTTTTGATCATGTCTTTTAAAGGAGCTCCCACCTTACCTTGGCAAACTGGATGTCTCATTTCAAAGAGGTAATATTTTTTGTTTGTAGCTTAAACATTTGTGTTGAGAAGCATATATGTGTTTTCTTGTCATAGTAAGTTCTTACTAAAAGTAACTGGCCTCTAAGCTTTTTCCCTCAGGCCTACAAATCTGAAGCCTTGAAAATTATCTGACGTGAAATTATCAGGTCCAGAGAGTTAACTGATTCATGCTACTTAAATTCACATACAGTTAATTAATTTTTTTTTTTTTTTTTTGAGGTGGAGTTTCACTCTTGTTGCCCAGGCTGGAGTGCAATGGTGCGATCTTGGCTCACTGCAGCCTCCGCCTCCCAGGTTCAAGCAATTCTCCTGCCTCAGCCCCCCAAGTAGCTGGGATTACAGGCATGCGCCACCACACCTGGCTAATTTTTTGTATTTAGTAGAGACAGGGTTTCACCATGTTGGTCAGGCTGGTCTCGAAGTCCTGACCTCAGATGATCTGCCCGCCTCAGCCTCCCAAAGTGCTGGGATTATAGGGGTGAGCCACTGTGCCCGGCCTGCACTGAACAGCTTTATGCATAAAGATTAAAGCTTTCTCTATCTTTAGCTTTTTATTTATAAAGATATATAAATATTTGTATTTATAAAAGTTATTTATATAACGTTTTCTCTATTTTAAGATTATTTCTCTAAATATACTCCCAGAAGGGAAATTATTGGG